AGGAGAGAGAGGGTTTCGGGAGAGGGGTGGAAACGCGAAGAAACAATAACGCGCCTTGCCTCCTCATTTTGCCCCAAGTTTATTTTTCCCTTCCCCCTTTTTTTTTTGCTTTTTCTTTTTTATTACCCACATGCGGCCACGCATGCCTACTGGGCTGCGTCGTGCCGTTTTGCCACGTGAACTGCGGAGGACAACATCCGCTGCCACGCCCTGTTTGTTTGTTTGTTTCTTTTTTTCTTCTTCTCTTGAAGCCTGCTCGCGTCACACCTCCACCCGGTTAACGGCCCACAGGCACGGAGTTCATCGGCTGCCGCCGCTCGCGCAGAAGCCGCATTTCTTGCAGCATAGGGATCACCTTGTGGCGCATCCACCAGCGGTCCACGCACGTCCCCACCACCAGCGCCGCGCCAGCCATGCAGGCCCACAGGACGGCGAGGCTGATAAAGTGAAGCACATCAAACGTCATGGGTTCCCCCACCTTCCTTTGTGTGTTTGCTTGCCTGTTGAGGCGGGCGCGGTGGGCGTCAAGAGCCGGCAAGTTTACAGAGAAAGGCAGAGAAAGAAACATAAAGGGATAAAGAGTGAGGCTCAGACACCTTGGCGCCTGACGGACCGTGCCGCTTACATTCGGCAAGGAGGAGGCCAGAATAAAGAAAATGCAGCTCAGCCACGCACACACACACACACACACACTCAGTCACTCACGACACTTCCACCGAAGTTGAAGGGGACATGGGGTGAGAAGGAGGTGACGCAATAAGTGGCGGACGCGCAGCCCGTAATGCTGCCAGCTGCAGTCGCGGCCGCCACAGCGCAACACTGCCTCATTGCTGACCCAGAAAGTTCAGAGCGGAGATGAGCTGTTTTCGCGCCGTGGCATGGTCGTAAAACTGCAGCGCACTCACCGCCTGCTTGGCACACTTTTGCGCATTGATCATGGCGTCCATTGAGGGACCGCCGCCGCCACTACTGCCACCGGGCGCCGTCACGGACGCGGGCGGCGCCGGAGGGCGGAATGGCTCATACGGCGGCGGCGGCGGCGAGGGCGTGGGATTTGGGGCAAACGGCTCTGGCGGCGGGGGCCGCAGCTCCGCCGCGGGAAAGAGTGGCTGCTGCTGCTGCTGCTGCCGTGCCTCTTTAGCGTCACCCGCGTCGTCAGAGGCCGCCTCGCCGCCTCCCTCCGACGAGGCCGCGGCGGCGGCGTTGGGGCTTTCGTACGGTGTGCCGCTCTCCAGCGCCCGCTTCATGCGCACCGCGATGTAGCGGGCGTAGTCGCGCCGCTTCGCCGCGATGGGGTCGAGCTCGCCGTTCTCAGCGAACTGCCCCGTGGCATCCAGAAGGATGGAGGCGGTGAAGAAGAGCCGCACGAGGCCCATGTCCGCCGGGGCCCCGCCGCGCTCCGCGTCGTCGGCCCGCGCAAACAACGCGAGCGCCGTCTTTGTCAGCACGGTGCGGCCGTCCGCCTCGGCGACCGCCGGCCCGAGACGCTGCTTGTCGCCCTCCAGGGCCTGGAGGAGCTGGCGCAGGAACTGCGTGCCGGCGTGGTCCTCCTTCCGCCGCTGCCGCAAGGCGAGGTTGGCGACGTGCGTGCGCAAAAAGTACGCGACGACGGGCTGCAGCTTTTCAAACTCGTCCGCCCGCTGCAGGTACGGGCGCAGCGTCGCCACCCAGTGCTCCGGCACACTCTCGGTAAGCGAGGAGGACATGTGTGGCTGTATGAATATATATATATATATGAATAAATATATATATTTCGATGTGTATGTGTACAGAAATGCGTAGGGCTGCGTGTGCGCTCCCTCGGCGGGGGAGGGGGGTCCCGTGTGCGACGGGCGGGGACAAGAGGCAAGGGAGCGGCGCCGCCACTCACAGCAGAAGACAAGAGCCGTGCAACTGAGCCCCAAATGGGAGACACCACGACTCCCAGTCCCACTTTTCTTTTTTTTCTCTCTATCTCTCGCCACACACACACACGCGCAGAGGAGAAAAAAAACGATGAACAAAAATTTACAACGCCTCTGAAAATGTGTAATGAAGACAGGTGGCTCACGGTGAGGGGGGTGAGGGAGAGGGAGTGAAAGGGGGAAGGGGCCATCCACGCTTCCTCCGCACTGTGCCACCCCCCCCCCCCCCACCAGGCGCAACAAATAACACACACAGAGAGAGAGAAAAAGAGAGAAAACAAAGTCATGCGCCCCTCTGCTCACCCAACAGCAAGAAGGAAAATGCGTCCATAATGACACACACGCACGCAAGCCGTTATATACATATACATATATATGTATGTATATGTAATGTATGGGCGAAGCGGGTATCTATGCGGCAGACGACTCGACAAGGTGCCTATTCTTTTCTCTTTGCTTGTACACCACCTCTATAATGCCGTTCGGAATGGCATGGGGGAGGAGGAGGTTATATCGCTGACTCACCCCAACTGCACCAGCACGCCGCCTTTCTTTTTTATTTATTTATGCGTCTATTATTTTTTATTTTTCACGCTACACTTCCTCAGTGACGGAGCATTCGCCGCTGACGGGCCGCACGCTCTCTTCGCAGCGCCGCCTTTTCCTCTTCGATGCGCCGGAGTTCATCCACTTCTCTCTCTGTGCGCAGAATGGCACTGCGTACGCGGGCGAGACGCTTGTTCATGGCGTAGTACTTGACCTCACAGCCGTGATCGTGCCGCCGTGCCGCAGTGTTGACGAGCGTGAAGGCGAGCCGTTCCTCCTGCATTTGCAGGATCCGCAGCCGGGCGTTGGGGTCCTGCGGGAGCGCCGCGTCTCCCACTTTCTCCTCACTCGTCGCACGTAAAGAAGCGGGAACAACAGCAAGGGCGCTCACGCGGTTCCCAGGAGGTGTGCCGCGGCTAAACAACGCCTCCGCTATTTGGGAGCTGTCATTGTGCCGTCGCCATTGCGGCTGCAGCTGCGGCTGCTGTGGCGGTGGTGATGCATAATTTGCTGCGGCGCCGTGGCGGACGCGGGGCGCGGGGGAGGCCCCCCCGCCGCCGTCTAGCGCAGGTGGACGCCGTTCCTCGTTGCTGCCCGTACTGCTGCAGCAGCTGCTGCTGCTACTGCAGTGGCTGCCCGCACGTTCCTCCCGCCACGCACGCCGGCGCTGCCGCAAGGGCGGAGGACGCGGCGGCGGCGCTGTCGTGTGGGGGCTCTGCCCGTGACCTCGCCGCTCGCGCAGGGAACGCCGCGTTGCGCCGCCGTCGCGGCCTTCGCCGGCGCGGAGCGCCACGGCCAGCAGCGGGGACACCGCCTCCGCGATGCAGAGCGAGAGCTGCTGCACAACCTCCCCCTCCGGCTCAAGCGGGTTCCCCGGCGGCAGCGCAGCCGCCTCATCCGCAGCCTCCGGCATCCCCAGGCCGTGGCGCAGCAGCGGCGGCAGCTGCTGGTGCTCCTCGAGGAAGTCGGCGAGGGTCGCCTCCGACGGGTCCGCCTCGAAGCGGGCGAAGGCGTCGTCCAGCCGCCACAGCGCCGCCCGCACCTCCGCGCGTAGGTGGGCAAAGTACGCCGACCACAGCCGCCGCATCATCTCCAGAAAGCGGGCGGCGGCGTCCGAGGCCGTGAGCGCGAGCGACGCGGTGAGCCGCTCCGCCATCACCGCTTGGCCTGCCGAGGGCGATTCTGCCGCCCGCGGCGATTCCTCCTCCTCCTCCTCCTCGTCGTCGTGGTCACTGCGACGGCCGCCACACAAATTCGCCTCCGCGTCACATTCGGTCTCCTGCTTTGCGGCCGCGTCGCTGCCGCAGCCGCGTTCACGTGGTGTCCCGCTTTCGCCCTGCCGCGGTGCATCATCCCCCTCGTTGCCGTCCTCACTGTGCCTGCCGGGCGCGGTCGCTACTGCGGCTGTGGCGGCCTCCTGCGACGGCCCCAGCGGGTCCTGCAGCAGCTGCACCAGTCGCCGGCGAAAGGCATCGTCCTGCAGAATGTCACGCACGCCTGCGGGCGCCCGCCCGCTGCTCCCCTCTGGGCGGCGTGCCGTGTCTGTCACTCCCTCGCCGGGCACCGCGTCGTCGGCCGCCTCCGCCGCTGGCAGTTGTGTGTAGAGCCGAAACAGCAACTCCCGTTGCGCGTCGTAGGCGCGCGTGTAGCGCCGCAGCTGCTGCTCCAGCCGCTGCAGTCGCCCCTCACATACCGCCTCCATCGCCGCTGCCTCCTCACACGCCTCGGCCGCAAGAGGTAACGGAGGCAGCACGGGCCTATTTGCTCCCCCCTCCCCCCTCCACACACACACACACCCACCCCAAGAGAAATAATGTGTCGTCCTCCACGACTTCGCTTCTCCCTCTCCAGGGAAACGGACAGAAACAACGGGGATACAGGAGCGGGCACACAGTGATGCGTGCATCGGCAGTCCCAAGATGCAGAGGAGGACGGCGTGAGTGCGTGAGACAGAGAGAGCGCGCGATAGCTGCTCACGGTTCTGTCCATTTGTGCCGAGGCTCGCACGTACACAGAGAGAGAGAGAGAGAGAGAGAGAGAGGAGAGAGAGAGGAG